TTTCATATAAATTCATTGACACGCCTGGCACTATGCTGACAAGGTGGTCGATATCCTGAAGGGGTATCTCATTCCAGGCTACTGCACCTTCATGAGTAAGAGCTGCTAAAGTCTGTGGAGGGCGTTGCTAATTGAAGAGCCTGCGAACTCTCATGTCCCAGACATGTTCAATTGGAGATAGGTCAGGCGATCGTGGTGGCCAAGGTAAACGGTTAATGCGATGTTGATCCATGAAGGATAACGATGCTCTGGAAACATGCATTGCTGAAAAATCGGGTTTTGGATGGTGTTTAGGTATGAAATAAGATGAGGCTCCACTACTTCCTGAATATAGCGTCGGGCTGTCATATTGACTCTGATGAAAATTAGTGGTGATCTGCTACTATAAGCAATAGTACCCCATACCATAACTCCCACGTAGTGGTGAACGTGACACTCTCTGTCAAATTGTGGGACACGTCTTTCACCACGTCCCGACCATCGTGCACCTCCAGACAGAAGCGGAATTCGTCACTAAAGACCACCTGATTCCATTCCCGGTACTATAGAATTCTTTCTCTACACCAGAGCAAAACGCTTACACCAATGTGGGCGATCAGAAAAAAGACCCAAACTGTCGTATTCGGCGATATACCGTTGCATACCAACCATCCTTCCATGCTCTTGAAACCACTGATTAGCGATGGCTCGAGTACTACCGAGTCTGTATCTCAGAGCCTTAACCGGCTGTCTTGACGCTGTGTGGTCAATCTGGGACGTCTAGAACCCTTCGCTCGCTATCCTCGGACTTCCTGTGTCCACGCTCGTTTACACATCAGTATACTGCGTAAGGATCTATTGGTCCTCCTAGAAACTTCTCTTATCGATAGACCGGCTTCACGCAACCCGACAATTCGACCCCTGTCAAAGTCGCTTAGCTGGGGCACCCGGCACATTCTACCAACTCAAAGGCATTTTGAGCTATCACATGAAAGCTTCTCAATAAGCTACATGAAATTTAACATTTAGCTGACACCGTAAATGTACGAAAACTGAAGTCTTCTTTATCACCAAACAATACACGCAGCCACCACAAAAAATTGACAGAAAAACCTAACCATTTTATCACTTGTTCATGGCAAGATAAATCGATATGTAAAAAATTCTTGAATTCTAATGCCGGGTCCACATCAAAGCAGCAAAACAAAAACAAGGTACAAAACAGAAACACAACAAATGAGCAACTTTTTGGAAACAAAACAAAATCAAAACTTATGACCACATTGGTAAAAGTTTTCAGTTGTTTTGTTTCGTGGAGTTCACACCAAAAATGTCGAGTTTAAATATATGGCGTTTTTATGCTTAAAGGTAGAAGCGCAAAGATTTTATCATAATGTCTGCTGGTTATGTGTTTCTCCAGAGTTATGACCGAAAATAAAAAACGCTGTTGGGTGAAAGTTACGTGAAAGAGATGATCGTGGTATTGAAAATTATTGTCCGATTTGCGTAAAGATGATATTGGATTGCGAGGAGAAATGCGTTCTTGTTTCAAGAATGTCCAGTGAAAACTTTGAAGAATTGATACAGCTGATCGGTCCCGAAATTTATAAAAAAATACCAATTTCAGAAATGACATTAGCGTAGTTGAAGGTTTGGCCGTAACACTAAGACATAGCTTCTTTTTCCATCCAGCCTGCGAACAGGACATGCTGCAGATAATTAAAGATTTAAAACCACCTGACTTGGTGTGCAGATGGCATTAGTACAAATATTGTAAAGCAATGCTCCCACTTGATTGCTGGTGTGGTTACCTACCTAGTAAATAGCTCTTTAGAGGAGGGTAAGACTCCCAGTTGCTTGAAAATAGCAAAAATCATTCCCATCTACAAGAAAGAAGACTCCAGTTCTGTTGAAAACTACAGACCAATATCCCTGCTAAGCGCTTTTGTGAGAATACTCGAAAAGTACGTAGCTATATGTACAGTGAAATACTTCGACAAAAATCAATTGTTCAATGTAAGTCAGTTTGGCTTTCGTAAGGGTTTGTCGACTACTACTGCAATAATAAATTTCTTGAACTGTCTTTATGGCGATCTTGACATGGGCAAAAAGAGCATTAGTATATTCATTGATTTGAGCAAACCCTTTGACCTGGTGAATCATGAGCTATTGTTGATGAGGCTTGAAAGCTATGGAATACGGGGACTTCCACTTCAATGGTTTCGTGACTATTCATCTAACAGATACCAGTACGTCGAAATCACGAAGCACAGATCAGAGAAGCGCTTAAGTGAAGTGGGAGTCCCACAGGGTTCTATCTTGGACCACTGATGTATATAATTTTTGTGAATGCCATCAGTAGCACAAAATATTTTATGTATGCCGATGATACATCATTATTGGTAAATACCGACCATTTAATATCGCTGGCGGAAAGTGCTACTGAAAAGCTGCGGTCAAGTCTCTCAATGGTTCCATTCGGCAGGTTGGCTTTGTCAAATTTTTGGGTATCCATATAAATAGTTGCCTAAAGTGTAATGCTCACATTGATCATACATGCAAACAGATCGCCCCATTACTCTACTGCATCAGTCAGCTACGCTTTGTGGTCGATAGATCTTTATTTTGCATAATATCCACTCCACAATTGCATGCGGTATCCATAGCTTGGGGTGGTTCCACAGAAGCAATTCGAGTATTCACTATGCAAAAAAGAGTCGTGCGTTCACTGTTAGGTCTGAGCAGAAGGACCAGCTGCAGAGATTCTTTCAAGCGGCTGGGAATATTAACTTTACCATATATATACAGGGTGACTTTGAAGTTGAGTCATTAATTTTCAGATAATGATTGTAGAAGGAAGATAAACCAAAATATATGTCCATATGTGAGGTCTTAAGTCACCTGATTCACGAACCCGTTGTACTACATTAACAAAGGCACGAGCGGTTGGTTGCACTCGATTGGGAAACCGATCCGCATAAACATGTGCCATTTTTTATTTCGTTTGAGCCACGCAACAGTTACACCACTCCGTTGTCGAGAAATACGAGCACATAATTTATTATTGAGACAGGGCGGGTACTCAAACTTCCAAAGGGCTATAACTTTGTTACTTTAATTTTACCAGAAAAATGGTAAAGTAAAAAAACATTTCTTTGATCAGATCTACGCACTGTTAAAATAAATGACTCAACTTCGAAGTCACCCTGTGTATATATATACAATTTTTTTTTAATTTTTTTTTATTTTTACACACATATTTTGGTTTATCTTCCTTCTACAATCATTATCTGAAAATTAATTACTCAACTTCAAAGTCACCCTGTATATATAATTATAATAATAATAATAGCATTATCCACAAGTATCTCTTAGTAGCTCACTTTAGTTCCTTGAGTTTACAATTAAATACGTCGAGATGCTGTGATATTAAAATGTGAACACATTACTGATAATGGTGATTTCAAGAAGAATTCAGAAGAATAAAATGTTAATGATTGTCTAGAGTTAAACGTTAAATTTAATACGCGTTAAAAGATATGGACAATAATACGTACTTTCTGTGTTAAGATAATAATTGTATGGTATTATCTCGTATTTGCTGTGGTTGCATTTACTGCGATTTTAAAAGAATTTAGAATCACTATTTTTTTTTACTTGAGTAAGACACTATTATAAACTATAGGAAGTAGCTTTAGGGCTAAGAATAATAAACATTTCATTTCATATATGAATAATTACTGATGTCCAAGCTACTGAGGGATCACAGTAAATACAGAGTTGCTTTCCACAACACTCTTTTGCGTGACTCAGTGGACTACTCAGTTTAGAAAGTTCGTAAACATTCACGGCCAAGGCTCGCACTGTGATCAAAAATTAGCGCGAATTTTTAGACACTCAAAATTACACTCTAACAAAACCTGAATCAAAATTTGTTTTTAGTTCACCTCAAAATTAATCTGTGTACCAAGTAAAAAGCCTAGGTGTTTTCTGTTAAACAAATAAACTTGTTTTTCTTTGCTCTTCTCCTTTTTTCTTATCTTTACCTTACTCTTTTTCCTTAACACTGTCTGGTTTCTGGGCAACCACTAGACAGTGACTAATGGGCAAAGGTTCTACGGACCGCCCAGACAAACAAATGACGAATAGTAGAGTTGCTTTCCAATGGCCCTGTTGTTGCTACTCTGATCGTCTGATATTGGCCTGAGATTAATTGACAGACATCATACACAAAGGATACTATAAAAGTTTTGCAATACAGCTTTATTTATTGACTTCCTTTAAAGTAATTTCCACCTCATTAACTACACCTCTGCATTCGCCAAAACCAGTCCTTAAACAAGCTCTGTCAAGTTTCACGCGGGTGTGCGGCACACTCGTCCCAAGCCCTCATAAGGGCCTGACCGCTAGAAAACCGTTTTCCTTTTAGCTTCATTTTCGCATGCGGAAAAAGTGCAAAGTCGCAGGGAGCAAGATCTGGACTGTAAGGAGGGTGCTCGATAAGTTTCAGTCCAGTAGTGGTCCAATACTCGGTGCAGGCTTTGGCGCGGTGAGCTGAAGCGTTGTCATGGTGGAGGTACCAAGTGCCCATTCTTGGCTTTGGCCGCAGGTTTTTCATAGACTCTATGACTAGACAAGCACTTGAAAAATATAGCTATCATTTTTTTCTTAACAGATCGGAATTTTCTGACAGCTTCATCAAAGACCCAAACTTTGTTTTGAGCCGTGGTCGGCACAACGTAATAATAGAGCCAAGTCTCGTCACCTGTCACGATGCTGTTCACATACCGATATTGCCCCTTATCAAACATTTTCAGCATCTTTCGGCACCAAGTCGTAAGTCGTGTCAGACTACGCGGCACAAAGAGAGAACAAGTTTCCTTACGTGTAAATGGTCATGCAGAATTGAATGAATTGCTGGTGTATGAAGGTCTAAGGGCTCCTCTATCTGTTGGTATGTAACTCTCCAGTCTTCGTCAAGCATTTTCCTCACAGCAGTAATGTTTTCCTCTGTTACTGACGTTCGCGGCCTTCCTTCCCTCTCAGCCGCGTCGTCTAGAGTGAAATTGCCCCCTTGGAATTCTCTGTACCACCTGAATATAGTCCTACGATGATTCTTTAATGCAAGCGTCATTTCTTCAAAGCACTGGTCTATGCTTAAACCACGCATAAAGTAATACCGTAAAACTGCCATTATCTCACTACGTGACAACGATGCCATAGTTCCCACTTTACACTGTCAATACGAATGAACAACTAAATCAACAGACTACTGCTGGCGGCTACTATGCACTCATGGACAGGTCTCAACATGCAGCCTCCTGCGTCCGTTTGTTAAGTCATATTGCATACTTTTATAGTACCCTTTGTATGTGCAACAGGTTATGCTGATCTGTGCTAGTTGTCAAACGATTCAGTCGACAGCGACCGGCAGTCAGCAACTGAGCTAAGCCATAATTCAAGCAGCGCTAGCTCGTCACAGCTAGATGAATAACCATTGAAAGTATCAGAATCCATCATTGTTTGTATGAAGCTAATAGCCCTCCACTAACAATTCGATGAAGGGACCGAAACTAAAGGGGAAAAGCTATACGCTTATGTGTACAAATAAACCATTAGCAGTACAACTTTTCACCCTTCAGGCTCAATCATAGATGCAGGAGAGGAAATAGATCATTCCAATCAATTCAGTACGCCCTAAAAAGAATTTTTTTATTTGTTAAGCTACTGATATAAATTTATGCTATATGAAACTGCATAAATATGTAACAAATATATAATCGTCACTCGGAGTACTTAAGTTTTTGCAACCTGATTACAGGTAACAGGAACTGGGAACCAGACTAAAAGCAAATGATACACTATTAGATAGGTATGGTATTTCCAATTCGAAAAAGATTTATCAATGTGAAAAGTGAGAATTTGCTGTGCTAGATATCAGGAGCGTATTAGAACAGGCTTTTAGAGAAATTGGGTATACATAACATAAACATAGCAATATGTCAAACCATATTACATGAGAATATGTACCAGAGATTTATGATCCAATTTTTCAATTCAATCGTTTTTTACCCTCATTCTTTTAAATGTAATGAATGTTTATGAAACTACTGAAGTTATTCTGGGAGATGATTGCCAAGTCGACATTCCGACAGAACTGGTTAATTTTCTAAAAAAATTACATCCATTGCTATGATTTTTCCTTTCTTTTTTAAATCGGTTCTTTTTAGGGCCACAACTTAATAATGAAAAGAAATTCCAGAAAAATTAGTTTAAAAAAATAAAAATTCAAGGGTGTACCATATAAAATCTTCAGCCTAAATTTTAGTTTAGGAACAAGATATCGAGTTGCGTTTTTAGCGAGCTTGTTTAGACATCATTCAGCTACTTTTTTCATAAAAAACATCATACCAATGCATTTACTTTTTTTGAGGAAATTAACCATTTCTGTCGGAATGTCGAAAAAAGCTCTCTAGCTGCCACATGTGAAACTAACAAAACTTCAAATATTATATCATTTGCAGCCCAAGAATAGCTCTTTTCAGCACAAGTTTGTTGAAATCGCCTCAGCCGTTTCCAAGATACAGGGTGTTTTTTTAAGGAAATCTTTGAATACCCCCACCACCTGAAGGTTATAGATACAGCAAAAATTGCCAAACAAAAAAGGTTCAGATAATCCTCAAATTGAAATATCAGGTATTTTTGCTTAGGTTAATATAGCGGAATTCACAGAAACATCACTTTTTTAGATTGCAGTTACGCCAGCGGCATTTCAGAAACTTGAAAATATTTTCCAGGTTGTTTTAATAACCGTTTTTGCCGTAAGCCTCTACAATGGATAGGTTCCTAGATACATTTTGTCGTATTCTTGGCCACCCTGTACATCTCTTAGGAGGTTTTGCAGATGCACATCCACAAATAATACCAAAAATTTTTATTCTTGCCCAAAATAGTTTCAGATTTGCCCATCATATGATTCATGCACTGAGGGAAAAGATACAGGGAAAAATAAGGTGAGACACCCAGTACAAACCACTTTTTTTTGTGGACTTGTGTCGTTTTTATGCGTGTTCTCTAAAATTTGTCCACCGAACCCTAATTTTGACTTCAGATTCGTGAAGACACTTATTAAATAGATGCACCACTTTATTTTGCCTAACCTGCATGCCTTTTTTCTGGTGCGATAAGTTTTTTGGGGAGCTAATCAATTTTGAGAATACATAGACCTTTCAAAGACACAACAATAATCTTATATCACCAACAGTAGCCAAAATAACCTAGAATCATTCACTGCCCCGAGTATCCGATACTCGGATTTTTAACAAGTAGTACTCAGTGCATCATTATACAGAGTGTAAATGACCAAACTTCAAGAGGTAATAGAAAGAATTGTAGACACATATAGATAAAGCTGTCATATAACAAAATCACGGTATGGAGAAAATTTACTTTAAATTTTTTTAAATAATTTATTATGTATCTTGTTTTTGCAACAAAGTAATCACAGAATGAAAGAATCACTCCTTAAAATTAGTTTGAGGCAAAAAAAAAACAATTAAAAAAAATTACATGACACTTTTACCCACTTAACATAGTTCTGGAAATGTTTTTTTTCATGACACAGGATTAAAATTTTTCAAACAAGACACCGAGAATCACTTATTTTTAAATAATGAAATAAAACAAATTAACTCTTCACTTTGACTTCTGTAAGTGCTATTTTTTGAGCACCTGGAAATAATGCTGTAATCTTATGTAATGAATAGATAAATATGTAAAAATAAGCAAGCCCCAAAAGAAAAAAAAAATGGCTCGAGTAGATTGACTGTTCACCGCCCATGCAACTCTGTTATCCTATATAGAAAAAAATTGTGAGAGATATGGAATCATTAAGAAGAGACAAAGTTGCATATTTAGATACTCAACAAATTGCCGCTTAGAAAGTTTCGAAATTCAATGTACTTCCGGAGAGAGACGAATTTTCCCAAAAACGTTTTAGTTCTTCTTCATTTGTAGTGAGAGTTCAAAATACATTGCACATTAACATTGCCACTAAAAATGTTTAATACGTCATACTTTGAAGTTGCTAAACCTTAGTTATTTTAGAAAAAGCAGGGTTTCCTAGGTAGGCCTTTAAATAACCAGTCATTTGTCCTCCAGGATTAACTCCAATGTTTCTTATCAACCCCATATTGGATTTTTCGGAGATGAACAGAGTTTTTAATTCTAATTTCAAAAATATGTTATAAATTGTCATTGCCAAACTTTAGTTATTCCAGAAAAACAGAAGTTTGTAGGTAGGCCTTGAAATTATCAGATTTAATTTGTTTTGTATACCAGACCAGACATCAAACTGAACATAGCAGCAGAGTTTAGAAGACTGAGGAGAAGGAAAATAAATCAAACAGTGAACGATGTACAGAGAAGAGAGTCACATTTCCGACAATTTAACGGACAACATTTTGAACATCTGCTATGATATACACTCTCTTATTTATGATTATTATTGTTATTACCATCCATAAAATTTTCAGGTTTCACCATACCACATATTTCTTTATAATTTTCGTCGAACAACAAATTCATGGCCAACTAAGGAAATACATCACTGAATTTAGGACTGAAAGTCTATTTAAATTTACACAATTCCAATATAGCATCCATATAAAAAAAAGTTGGTGATGGAAGTCGAAAGAAGGAATGTCAAATTGATAATTTGACTACACCATCTTGTGGAGGAGAATAACAATGACAACATGCAATTTATTAGGGAATCCCATCAAGAATAAATTCTGGAGAAAATAAAAGTGTTTTTGAGATAAATCTGGTAATTTTTTAATAACTAAGGTATGGGAATGTCAATGTATGACATATTATACATTTTCGAATAAGAATTGAAAAGTCTAGTCATCTGTGCAAACATCCAATATGGCGCCCATAAGAAAAAATAAAGTTGATGCTGGAGAACAAGATATTAAACTTATTGAAATTCTAATTATGCGTTATTGTAGAGGATAAAAAGTGGCAATGTTAATGTGAAAATTATTTTGAAATCTCACCACAAATAAAGTCAGGAATTTTTTTAATAACTTTGAAACTCTCTAAGCAGCATTTTGTTGATTACCTAAATACACAACATTAGCCTCATTTAAGTGACTTCATAGCTCTTACAGTTTCAGAGATCCCAATAGTGAGGGTCAAATTTATTTATTTACTTATTTAATCAATGGTTAAAACCCTTGTTGCAGGTACAAAACCGTCTTGATTTAAGAATCACATTGTAATGTTAACACTTCTTTTGAAAACACAAACAGAAGTTCCAAATAATTCTAAACTAGAAATATATCTATTACCCAACCTAAGAAGGTGACTTATGGGTTCACTTAAACCATAATCTGTTCAGTGAAAGGGGACAAAGAAAGTATCTGTATGTCGCATTCTTCTATCATTGACAATAAGTGGAATTTTTCCTAACAGTTAGGGACAATCAATTTGACCATTCATAATTTTGTGCAAGAAAAGTAAGTAAAATTCCAATCTGTGTCGCTCAAGAGAAGTCATATTCATGTAGAGAAGAATATCAGCGTAACTATACACCTCCCCAATGAAACCCATTTTATATCCACATTTTCTCAAATTTTTTTTCTGAAAATGCTCTAATTGGTTGATCTGCAAGTTATGACTTGGGGACCAAATGAAGTAGCAATACTCAAGTAACAAACAACCAAAGAACAATACAAAATTTTAAAAGAAAAAAGTGAAAAAAGATGAACGCAATAGTGATTTATGAAGCCTAATATCTTATATGCCCAGTTGATTGTTTTTTCAATATGTTGAATGATAATTTTGAATCAAAAATAACTCCCAAGTCCATGATCTGAACTGTAGTTTGTAAAGATCTACTGTTGATGCTATAAGAATAAATAATAGGAGAACAAGACTTACTAAATGTAATTTTGAAGGACTTCGCATCATTTAAAAAAAACATTCTCTCCAAACCAATGAGATCTATGATCTGGGATTTATCAGATAAGTAACTAATATCCAATTCAAGAGCTGACCCTGAGGACCATAGTCGTAAAGCTTGGAAAATAATATGGATATAAAATATGCTTAAGAAAATAAAATAACCAAGGTGATTGAGTATTTAGAAGTTTGTGAACATAGTATAATAAATAAAATTTGTACAACTTTGCAATATTCAACCAATTCAGCTGTTCAAAACCTGACCTAGGTTTTTTTGTTATAAGAAGAATTCAGTAAAAATGGATGCGTAGATATATGAATGAAAGGCCTTATAAATTGCAATCAAAATTGAGATGAGTATCGAATTTGTCTAGTCTCCTTGGCAAAAAAGCATCAAGTTGATTTCATGAGAACCAAAAAAATTGTCTGACATACATACTTTTATCTATTTACCACAGAATTAATGTAACTTAATTTTTTTGTGAGGTCATGTACATTTTTGTCACTACCCTGGTGTCAATTTCTCTGGCAGTTTTCACATCAATTGCGTGTCATTTCCTTCTTTTTCTAGTATCTACTTTTTATTATTCATTCACGATAAAACATATTTTTTTTTTGTACTCCAACTACCATGAAGGCCTAAGGCCTAAACACCCATTGGGTACCGTGGGGCTATAGGGGGATACAAGGGAAAGGGGGAACGCCACACGGACTCTAGCGAGGGAACACGTGTGCATGCAACATGCACACATTCTGGCTCAGCCTATGAGATCCGCCGGGTGGTACCTCCACGTTCGACAGTCAGAGACCGTCTACCACCTACGGACAATCACAACATCCATAGCCAAGAGAAAAATTTCTCCTGGGACGGGACTCGAACCCGCAAAGCGCACGGCGACTGATCAGGAGACTGAAGAGTCTACTACTGCGGCCACCGCTGCTGCCTGAATATTATAAACAATGAAAGCAACAGCTGCTACCCATATCTATCTATAAAAATGTCTAGCTTCCAAACACAATCATTTCCCTGAGGGGTCTCTTAGCTCTCAATGTATATAATTCCCTCACTTCAAGACTGATATAATAACTGGTGATTTCCAATAAAGAACTATTGAATATTAGTATCTGTATCATATTTATATCACAGTTATAGTATCTTTTTTATAGTTTAAATGTGACCCTTCTGCCACAGATTTTCCCTTAGTATCTAAAAGCTGTGGAAGACCACATGTTATGTGCCCCCATCAAATCTATTATATCACATATCCTATGGTTTTGTGATATAATGTACATGAAAGCAAAAGGAACTATTTTTTCTGTCATACTGAAAACCCAATAACTTCATATTCACCCATATAACAAACTGACATAAAGGTTAGACAGGGGAAAAATGCTAAATTAGCATGTGACAACAGTTTTGTTCTCCATTCAGCCTTGTAATAGGAAAACATCAACAGATGAATGGCAGTAATGAACACTAATAGTGTTATGGGCTGCAACTGGCAGGACTCTCAAAATCAGCGTGTAGATTAAACTCAAAAAATTAGGGTTAAATATTGGTACAAGAAAAAGGTATTGATTAATGATTGATGACATCTAGGACTATCTATACAAAAAGTTAAATTTAGGATGTTAACAGAAAATAAATGGCAACAATTATTCAAACCCTGTCTAGTTTGCCCAAAATATAAAGGATACATGTTCTGCAATTAACATTTTAGTATAATAATTACATATCTGTTTCTCAAGTACCTATAGGCATTGATTTCAATGATACTGATTTATAATAATCATAAATAAATATGACACAAGAATAAAGCCGGTATTACTATATTATCTGATACTGTGAAAACCTTAAAATTGGTTCTATGAACACCATAATAAAAATAATGGATGTGAATAATTGTGATTAATCAAAATCGATAACAAAAAAGCGTTTCTACCGAAACTAAACCGAAGATGAGTTTTCCCAGGTAGGTATGGAGTTTAGACTCGTGAACTGGTGCATCTAACGATTCAATGTCGTAATTACGAGATCGCAACAGAAACAGAAGATGCAAGGTGTGATTTGGAAATTGATTAGCACAGTAAGCCTAGAAGGCATTCAGGATCAACACGGATGACCCGTAGCAGCTAGCCTGTCTTTCGATCGAATATCCGATTGCCTTTCCAGTGATTCGAGGTAAAATCAGTCACCGTTGCACTTATCCTTTTATCTCGCCGGCTATGAGAACAATGAACCTTGCGACCGCCATTTAGAGATGTCCACCGCTTGGCTTCGAAATTAGCGACTCGCGCTGGATCCCTATCAGATGTCAAGCCCCGCGACTATTGTTAAAGTGGCATCTAAAGATCTGAAAATGGCTCGATTCCCGGAAAATGCACTCACCGAACCGATGTTTTCCGTGTGTGTCACAAATTCCTAGGGTTTTTCATGCACACAGATCTACTTACACTTGTAATGAGCGAAAAGAGCCTATTTAATTGGCTAGAATAATACAGTTCGGCATTTAGTTGTCGAAACAACCAATCAGGTGATATCTCAGGAAGAAATGTTGATTTTCCAAACACCAATCGCGACCGACGACATGCATATTTTACAATTACAAAATTCAAGAAATATCAAAATATTCCATAAATCCATACATTTAAGCACATTTAAAACCAAAACATAGGAGATGCAATGTAAACGAACGTTTTAATCACGTTGTAGGGCAAAACAAATCGACTTACCATGGACACCGTTAATTGTTCCGAAGCTTGGGATGCAGGATAAAAATTCGTTTCAAAAGCACGGGATACCGCACGAATTTCAGTTCAGTTTCATTCAAAATTACATTCGGATCGACTTTTTGTTGCCTAACGATAGTTTTAATACTTGATATATACATGAACTACCTAAATAAACTTGTGTACAAACTGCTCGCGTAAATGAACGTCCATCTTGTAATTACGCTTGTGATCGACGGAAGCGCCACCTGGATCGAGCACGGCGGGAGATTCAAAATCGGCCCGTCACGCACGCGGTTGCAGGGGTTATTTCCGGATTACGGATAAGTCGGATCATTTATCAATGCGAGATACGAATGGGAACAGGATTTTGTCGAGTACAAGATGCTGCGTGTTGCTTTGGGTGTGGCCCTAGGTAGATCTTTGGCGAATCACTTGAAGAAGATAATTAAATATACCTACCGTACCTAATATTGTAGGAATTTCTTTTATCGCACGATTTTCAGAATAAAACCACATAAAATTGACAAAGATGATTAGGGCAGTAGTTATTTATTCTGTATAAAAACATAAACATAGTGGCGGGCAGTTTTTTAAAATGATTAGAATATAATATAAAAATGTAAATCGTAGAATATTACCTTTTTTTCTAAAAATAGCTATGAGTCGTATCTACCAATAAGGGTCATCGTTCACAGGTATCGATATACCTAAGTAGTAGCACATAAAACTTTTATAGCCTGCGACGCGTATCGTCGAAGGATTATAATCTACGAGACCAATAATGGCACCGTCAAAAAATGTATGTTTATGATCTTTCACTAACTAACACTACGAGCCCCTTCCCACTTCAGTTGGCCCAACTATTGAAATCTTAGTTTTTTTCTTATCCAACACAAATAATAAAAATGTAGCAGGGAGTTATAGGTTTAAAATATTAACAATGAATATTTTGATAATACATAGTAGAAAACACTTTATCACTCCCTACACACATGTTGCAATTACAGCATATCAACCTATTTTCATTTCAAAGCAAAATAAGTCTATAACGCATAGGTGGCTGTGAAAAATAAAAGCCATGACAACTATTGTTTTATTAATTCTGGGAAATCAAACTCAGAATATCACAAATGCCGACCGAAGAGCATTAAGAAGAATAATCATGAAAAACAGGCGTGCCAATTATTTACAATTAAGTGCTCTGTGGAGTGACGCTGTTGGAAGGAGAATTTCGAGGTCCACAACTCATAGAGAGGTCCACAAACTGGGATTTAGCACTAGCAAGGTAAGTATAAAAAAAAGTTAAGTCAAAACCCTAAAGTTGCACAACTTGTTTATAGGCCAAAGAAAAGCCACTATTAACTCTACTGCAAAAGAAAAATCGACTTAGATGGGCTAAAGAACATAGACAATGGACACCTCAACAATGGTGTGCAATACAATGGAGTGATGAGGCCCGATTCCAAGTTTGTGTTGGTAACAGTCGCAGTAGAGTTATTCGCAAAAAAATGAAGCATTCCATGTTGACTGTCTGAAGAGAAAAGTGAAATTTCCAGCATCCATTATGGTCTGGGACAGTGTCATCAAAAGGAGTAGGAAAACTTAATTTTATTGATGGAAATGTGGACACAAACAAATATTTGGCAAATTCAGAAGAATCGCTTTTACCAGTGATGGAAGAATGTTTGACATCCGGCCAAAGATTTTGTGTTTCAGCAAGATGGTGCAGCGTGCCATACCTCAAAAAGGCTATAAAATGAATGGAAGAAAATAATGTACCACTTTTGAAATGGGTTTCTAGCAGTCCAAATCTGTCACCTATTGAAACTTTGTGGCACGAGATGAAAAAGGTTCTACGACAACTTCCTGCTCGTACAATCACCGAACTGAGACAAAAGCTTCAAGAAATATGGGATTGTTTTACACCAAATTTTTGGCAAAACTTGGTTAACACTATGCCCCAAAGAATTTCAGCCGTAATAAAAAAAAGGTGATTTTACCCAATGGCTATCTCTCAATTGTTGCTTTGTTAACTTCGCGCATTTATTCGCACATTGTTTATTTGTTCAAATGTTCTATTAGTTATAGGTCTAAGTGATTTCAAATATGTATTTTTTACGACTAGAGTGTATCTAAACTGCTTTTGAGAAGATAAATTGTTTTAGAAGTAAATAGTTTCGTCGTGTTTAGTTTATAAAGGCCTATTTTGGTACAAATCTTGAAATGGGCCAACTGAAGTGGGAAGGGGCTCGTATGTCACAATATTTTCGATTTTACATCACGATTTTGAGGTTTCCCACTCATTTTAAAAATACTTTAAAATATCTAGTTACCTGGTGTCAAACTGACAAACTCAAATTAGTGCATGCGTCCAATTTGGTTTCAACTCGTCCACCAAAAGGGGAGTAAGGTAATGTTTTCTTTTTTCTTTTTAAAGCACTATGCTGATTATTGGGGTATGCAAGAAAGAGAAATACATGAGGGCTGTAAGTACCAACTCAAAGTTACTTATGTCTCACAATCATTCTAAAATATGTCGAAATACCTATGAGGTTCAATTGTCAAACTGACGTGTTGCCTAAACGTCATGATGCTTCAGCTATCAATGTTTGGCTCTGATGTGATGTAACATTTGCTTCAGAGCTCGCATTATTGGAGGTCTAAGCTGGAAGTTGTATAATATAGCTGGAAGGAAACGGCAGTGCATAGTGAGGATTTGTGACCTAATAATGTGTGTTGATGATAATTCCATTAGTTTCTTGTCTCAAATACACTTACTTGAGATGTATGCAAAGCTAGAAATTAGTTGCGCATCCACTTTGAGACAGATAAGAAAAGAAAATCCGTGGTTGGTGAAGCATATTACAAGTAGCAGATGAGAAAATATATGTATATGATAAACACATGAAACGTAAAAAAGTTATTACATTATTTACCCGAGTAAAGATAAGATGGCCATGCAAGACAACTGTTGAAATATATTCTACTACGCTCTACAAGACTATTCGTAGCGAAATTTTTCCCGAATCGTTGCACAACAATTAAAAAAATGCAAATGAAAATTTATAAAATAATAAATAATAAATTTGTACATAAATATAGTTTTTTAGTTTTACCACATTCATCCTAAAAAGTTAAGTTCTTTGTTAAATGCATTATTTTTATTATTATGCATAGTATTTACTGTAATTTAAATATCAAAATATCATGCTACTCTTGATGTACCCCCAAAATACCTAGAGACACACTATTTATACACATGGAAATCTACAATACAAATACTTGTTTTATGTTTATGTGCAAATTGTGGGCATGAGATGCAGGCCAGTGGCTATTTGTTTGAACGCCCGCGCCCAATACCGGTTTAGCCGCCCCATGTACAACTCTACGCCGAGTTCTTTCTGTGTCGGTGAATCACTGGAACGGGTTCGATAACATCCAATCCGTTGAACTACTTCTGCGATTCCGAGTATCAAATAGAATCCAAAGCCCTTGTACTATAAGGGCATGAGAAAATAAAAAAAAATAAAAAAATACTGTACTTGGACACAAGTACATGTTTATTTCTATAGAAATTGTATTCTCCAACTTTGAAAAAGACCTTTCACCGGATTCAACTGTGACTGAAATGTAAGTAATATTCGTAGCGCTATTGCTGAGTTTGGAAATGTTGAAATGAAATCATTAGTAAAAAGGTATTGTAACAAAGAATGAGAATCATTACATTGATTTTCTGGAAAGTATAATTTCAAAGCTCTAATTTCATTCAACAAATCGATACCGTCAATGCCAGTTTCGCCAGTAGATTCGTCTTATTTAAGCTTTAGATTTAAATTTTTACAATGTATCATTAAGTTATCGTTGAAGTAATTAAATAACTTATTGTTTAGAAAGCCAAATACGTCAGTAAACGTCTGTCCTTTAGAGAGAATAGCGTCTGATCTAGCATTCTAAAAAAAAGCTCTACTTTGTATTTAATCTTGGGGTATAATAACACTTCGTCACTGTGTTCATATTGAACTTGGGTTGGTCTTCTTCTGGAACGAATCGTGTTTATTGGCGGGAAATTTGCTACACTAGTAGCTTCTTGTAATAGCTTCGCAAAGTTATCATCTGTGCGATATTCGGTTAACTAAATAACCAATTTTTCCAACAAATTTGCTCAGATTTGTATGTTCATTGTGGGGCTTTGCATCATTTTCTTTAAAGCATTAATATAATATAAAATAATTTCAAATCAAATTATTTTTGAGCAAGTAAATCTATAATTTTGAATGGTCAGCGCAAGCGAATGAGCTTTGTGAGGTGTTGCACAATCCCATTCCTACGAATTATTATCAGATATTTCCAGCTTCCAGCAAAGCATCAAATATAACATACAAATTATGAAAATGTTTCGTTTTTGTTTCGATATCTGTTTTTGCCGCCCGCTTGACAATGCCGCCCTTGTGCGGTGCACGCTCTGCACGCCCGCATGCAGCGGGCCTGATGAGATGTAAATGACTGAAAATTTGATAACAATTCCTAAAAAAACAAATTCTTAGTAACAGGTGACAATAATAAGGTCAGCTGCCAAAACTCATGTTTAGCCTGGGGAAATTTCGATAGGGATATTCTTGTAGAGCCTAGTATAGTATATTTCAGCGGTTTTCTTGCGTGACAATGATATCTTTACTCGGGCCAACCTCGGCAGCATATTCAGTAATAATTTTCCCACATAACAAATATCACTGATTCTATAGACATGTAGACACATAATCATCCAGATGCGATCTTGCTACTCAACCAACTTTCTTCCACATCTTCTCAGATATAAACACTACAGAATACTCAACTTTCTGCAACCTGGGGCAGGGGTATTATGTAAAAAACTTAAAAAACCTAAAAAAGACAAAATGTCATCTTGCAGACTACGTAGTTTTTAGTGTGCAAATAGTTCATTCCACGTTTGCTCGCTATGAGGGTCATCAAGAACGCGCATCTATGGAGGAATGACTCAACGGCACAGCACGCTCAAGCGTGCATTGTTGGTTGCAGAAAGCTAAAAACTAAAAAGTAGTGTTTATTTCTGAGATGTAAAAGAGAGAAGGTTTGTTTAGTAGCAAGATCGCATCTGGATGATTATGTATATTGGTCTTGATGTGTATCAAATCACTGATATTTGCTATGTGAGAAAATGATTACTGAATATGTTAAGAATGAAGTATGTATATCTACTCGTATTAGCAGTGCCCGACGGGTTAGTTATATGCTGTCGTTTTTGAAGATAGGTTATGTTCAAAGTTATAGATTACGATTTTTTCTGTTTTGTTTGCTTTCAAAAATTTTTAGAATTACGGGAATTCACCTCCGTGCCTGCGTTGCGTGTAATTAATGTTAGCATGTATATGACTTGTAATTCGACAGTGTACAGTGAATATAATTGAAATATGTGGCAGTATGTACGTATAAAATATAAGATTCCACATAAAGTTAATTACTTCAGCAACCAGAGATGTTCTTCTCTCATCTCTCTCATTTTTGAAATTCAGCAAATTTGCATAATATGTAATTTCGAGAGTGAATAAAAAAAGGTGGGCGCGTAACTAATTGCCAGCTTTGAATAAATCTCAAGTAAGCATATTTGAGGCAAGAAACCAATGGAATTATCATCAATACAGATTATTAGCACACAAATCCTCACTATGCACTGACGTTTCCTTATATATAGTATACAACTTGCAGCTTAGACCTCCAATAATGCCATCTTTGAAGCAGATGTTACATCGCATCAGAGCCAAAGACTGATAACTGAAGCATCATGACATGTAGGCAACACGTACAGCTACACATCCGCCTGACTATTACGTCGATGCGTCTGTAGCTTAATAATTATAATCTCTCATGCAATGGATATCTAAGTCTCTCGTTATGTCTCGGTTGAGCAGTATTGATAATAGTTCGTGGAGTCACAAATTTCTCGACAATTTCCAAATTTAGCTTTTGCCGTTTTGCAAGTTTTCAGCCGTTTTAGGGCAAACTCATAAAATGATACGACTTATTTTTCATGTTACATATATCAATAAATTGGTTCCCAAAGAGCATTTGTGAATCGATTTTCTGTGCATACGTATGGAAATTTTAAAAATATACGAATATGTCGGTATGTGTGGGAACTACTAAGTCAATCTACTTTTGAAGCCACTTTTCAAGATCCTAAACTCTTTAAGTCATTGACAAAAATGATTTTAAATAAGACAGAACTTTGGAAAATATTCGAACGCTTAAATTTTATTTTTTAGCGTTATTGAAGTTTCTCACCACACTTCAGGGTGTAGTAAAAAACTTTCAATGGGTCAAAAGCATTTCGAAATTGGCTAGCCTCATCTCTATATCTGCATCTATGAATCTTGTTTAAAATCCAAGAATTTGATTACATACACCATGATGTCTCATTTAAAATAAGCAAGTACTGTACTTGTGATACAGCCGAAAGATTCAACATTTTGAAAATATTATATTTTCATGTCATTGATGATTTTTGCATAATTCCCATATTTTAAAATTACACTTATTTAATCTTTAATCGGTTTCCTATATTTTATTTGATTTCAAAATACTGATACTTTTGAAAAAAGTAAAACTGATATTTATGTATACAAATGAAGTGTATTTTAAACTGCTTAATCTGATGAAAATATCAAAATAGTGTGCCAGGAAATTTTATGAAACCTATAATTTTATTAGCAAGTCTTCAAAAGCACCATCCGGTATGGTTCATTTGAATCTAACATGGATTGTATCCCCACGTAATAACATAAAATTTTTCACGGGGATCCGATATATTTTCGTCAAAGTGGGTTTGACACTCGAGACTTTTTTCGAGGATATTTAGAGAAGCTTTTTTTTGAATTGCCTTATGAGATACTGAGGTACCTTTTCGAACTCCCTTTGTAAGTTTAGGATGGTTGGTGGTAAAAAAACCGAGCCACAACCTCATCTGCAAAGGTTGGGATTATTATTCTTTGCCGTTTCGTACATTGATACCCACCATACTTTTGGATATAATGACAGAGATTCGTTCGAAGAAAGATTGCAGAAGGTAGGATGAAAGTAGACTAATAGATGTACTCGGTAATCAAATTTATTATTCTGATTCAGGTTTTAGTTTTTTTAGACTTTGGCTGATCTACTACCGTAATATCATCATCACTGTCTTCTATCATTTCCATATAGCTGTCTCTTTTTGTTTCTTCTGGTGACTTTTCAACATTTTCGACGAACATCACGGCTTTCCCGTGTCTTCTACCAACTGAAAGTAACAGTAGTAGTATTAATAAAGACCTTTTTAGATTTTTTTTTAATACTGATGGGCGCTCACGCGTAGACCTTGATGGTCTACAATGTAGACTATGTAGGCAATACCTAGATAATGTAGACAATGTAGATGCTATTGCATGCCCTATGATCAAAAAGTACCGGGAATTGCACATGACAGAACCGCTGATTTTTAGTTTTTTTAGGATGGTACCACCCTAACTGACATACTCGTACGTGCCAGTATTTAGCACCAGTACTTTATTAGTATCTGTCTGGCGTCTCTTTTTCGTCAGTCAACTTTTTAACTTTTGTCGCATTTTGATATGGATCGTTTTGTTGAGCAAACAGTTTATCTGAAATTTTGTGTTGCTAACACTGATGCATTGAGAATGTTGCAAAAAGCCTTTGGGGAGTCTGCAATGTCGAAAACTCGGGCATACGAATGGTATCAAGACTTTAAAACTGGTCGTACAGTGGAAGGAAATTTGCCTCATTCCGCCACCCATCCACGTTTAACACCGACGAGAACGTCAAAACAGTGAAGGAAGCGGTACTCGGAAATCGACATACCAGCGTGAAAGAGATTGCTACTTTCCGTTTTGAAGCATTTGACCGATGCCGTACGTCGCAAACGGCCGGGATTGCGGGGCGATAATTCGTGGATCTTGCACGACGATAACGCGCCGTCGTATCGGGTCAGAATTCTGCTTGATTATTTGACCAAACATGTAAATACCATTGAACAAGCGTATTCACCTGATATGGCTCCGTGCGACTTTTTTCTCTTCCCAAAGCCTCAAATTACCACTTCGGGGAAAGAGATTTCAGTCCATAGATGACATCAAGCAGAATGCGACGAGAGAGCTAAAGGCCATACCTTTGGCGACTTAGCAGCGGTGCATGGACGAGCGGGTGAAATGCTGGCACACGTGTGTTGTTTCAAATGGATGTTATTTTGAAGGCGATAAAATAAATTTGACTAAAAATTAAACCGTTTTCGTTTTATTCTTAAATTCCTGATACCTTTTGATCATAGGGTACCTTTACTCGGACACGTCAAAGCAATAAGTGAAAGAGCACCTCAGTCTATAAAAGTATTCGCCCAATATTGTCCCATTTATGAAACTAGGTATATAAGTACTAATGCATCTCTAGGGCGTAAATAAGCCGGTGGGCTAAAATGATAAAAAAAACAATGAGCTATAAACTGCTATTCGCTAAATTGTCTACATGAATATTAAGATGTAGGCAAACGCAATAGTCTACGCGTACACAATAGTGTATTTTACATGACGAATTCAAAGCGCCCTGGATCGATTTTAAATCACATACATATAACATCAAATTTTGTATATTTGATTTACGTGCTATACAGGGTGTTTCAAATTCGACTCTCACCATTGGGATCTTGGAAACGGTAAGAGATCGAAGTCAGTTAAACGGATGCAAAGTTGCCCATTTTAGGGCGCCTTTATGGCCTCCTTGATTGTCATAGTTTTCTACTTCTCCGTGTCAGAACTCGATTTTGAGGTTATGTCACAAACATCTATTTGCATCAAATTGTGCTTGCTTTTGAGTTATATCATGTTTTATCAGAATGAAATTTCCTACAATTTAAAAAGAAAACATATCTTCACAATAGGAGAGCGCTGACGCTGACCCGGGACAAGTGTAATCTAGAAATTTTTGAAGGAGAGAAAGGAGTATGACAATCAAGGAGGCCTTAAACGCGCCCTACAATTGTAGGGACGACTGACGATACGGGCCTAAGAAATTGGCCCTTAGAAAATTTTGTAATTTCGAGGATTCCAGTAGACGAATGAAACCGAATTTGCCCAAAAGCGTTTTATTTTTTCCTGGCTTCATTTGAGATGGGGTTTGAAAATAAAAAGAACATCAACAATGCCCCGGCTTCTCATCTACAAGATGGCATAGTTAGAATTTCGTCTCTTGTCCTCAGCCAGCGACTTTTTTTGTTTTTATAGACGCCATATTGGATTTTTGCATAGATGGATAGTTTTTACTTTTGACAAAAATGTATACATTGACAATGCTAAACCATAGTTCAAAAAAAAATCCTCAGAAGGCCTTGAAATCATCAGATAATAGTTTCTTTCATTTCGTCAGCCAAGTATTCCTTAAGATCTTATGAACTAAGCATAGGTGAACGGTCCTTATTTCCGATTTTGATGGCTGTGATATTACATGAATTTGTATTATAAAACTTTGATAATCCTAAAAAGTATTTTTTCTATTGTTGGTTTTAATTCATCAAATAAAGGATAATCTATAGCTAAAACTTTTTCATATTATTTAGAGGTTGTATTGAAAACATAGATAATAGAAGCTGATAGCCTTGACGATGTTACAGCTTCATACACAGATTTCATATCACCCATCAACGGATGTACACATCTTGCATTCAAATACTATTGATCTATGGATGAGATGTCATAAACAGCTTCTCCATCTTGCCTAAATAACGCTTGATATAGTAGTTCTGCACCCAAAATGTAGTTTTAGTTTTTAAGAGCTTGATTACTCTTTTCATTTTTTAATCAGTTCGGGTTTATTGACAAATGTTTGTAACGCATATTTGTGTTCCGTCGTTTACAACAAACCCATTGTGTCCGGTCTTTTGTTTTTATAATCGTAACAAGTGGTCTCATCCACGTTTTCGTTCTAAAACACCATTAAAACTGTTCTAAATTGTTTGCTATTTTCATAATTCCGTTTTAGCTCCTGAAGATTACAACATAGTTCGTCGAAAGCTCGAGATTACCGTCAAAAGAGTTCCCTACGCTTTAAGTTTTGCCAATTCCCCATAAACAATTTAATTGTATTTTTTAACTGGTCGTTGGCAATGGCAATGCCTACTCCTCGCATATATATATATATATATATATATATATATATATATATATATATATAAACTAGATTGTTTATTGAGAATCGACAACTTATAACGTAGTAAACTCTTGTGCCTTAAATCTCGAGCTTTCGACAGACTATGCTGCCATCTTCAGAAGATAAAAAACAAAATAGTAACCAAGTTAGATCAGTTTAATTTTTATTACTTACTTTGTTATTTAGGTTGCTGCCAAATGTTTTTTTTTTATAAAAATACGTGGATGAGACCACTTGTTAAGATTATAAAAACAAAAAACTGGACACATTGGGTTTGATTTAAAGTATGGAACACATAGCCATGCGTTACAAATTTTTGTTTATAATCCCGAATGGATTAATGGAGAAAGATTAATCAAATCATAAAAAACCATAACTACACTTTGGGGAAAGATTCACACCGTACAATTTCAAGGTGGTGGAGGTCAAACAGCCGGAAATGTGATGGTTTTCCTACAAGCTGTCGTTCATTTCATGCTCACTTGAAGCAAGCGCGGAATAAACTATTGGCACACTAGCCTACCTAGTCAACAAGCTGATATTTAATCGGTTTTTTGACATTATATAATCCAGTCAAAATAAAGCTTAGGTTCAAAAAATTCCCACAAAGCTGAAAATTAGTATAGACCTTGAACACACCATTATATATACAGGGTGTCTGCGAAAGGTTGGGACATCTCGAAACTGGAGATACTACAGACCAAAATATGTGAATTGACGTAAACATACCTTAGTCCAAAAGTTGATAGTTTGCGAGATACAGGGTGTCAAAGTTACAATTTTATTTTCTATTTTTCCTGATTGCTTGCTTGCTATTTCAGAGTTTGGCATAGAACTCGGTATAGGGAGGTTTTCTCGTATGAGAAAGAAGAATGCGTTATTTTTTATGGCCAAAATTCTAGAGGGCGACACTTATCGCACTATTTCTGTAAATAACTTATCATAACTTTTTTGTGCTACCCTGTATACAACAACCGACCGAAAAATCTTATTTTCTCGTATTTCCACAACAAAAAAGGTTTACTTGCTAGAAGTGTCTTAAGCTAATAGTTTTAGAAATATTTGTTTTTAAAAGTTCCAATGCATTATTTGTACCATGATAAGACATTTTTATAACATAATAATCAACTTGCTTTGTATAACATCTGAGTAGCGTTGCTATGGTTTATAATGTTTAAGTTGACAATAAGTTGTTGTTAAACATCCTGGAGTATACGTCTGATGAATATTCTGATATGCATTTAATATACGGATTGGCAAGATGTCATGCTTTAAAAGCACGAAGATTGTACGCTGACAGATTCCCTAATAAATACCTGCCTAATTCAAAGACTTTCCAACGAATCGATCAGCGGTTACGAGAAACTGGTAAGAAATTATTATAGCCTCATTTTGAGTAGTAAAAACAGTTTAGATTTTAGGTAGTTTTGCTCTAAATATGGGCCGACATAGTGGAGCTACCAGAACTGTACGTACAGATGAAGTTGAAGAAAATGTTTTAGTTGCTGTCTTTGAAAATCCTACAGTTGGGATTAGGAATGTAGCTCGAGAATTTCAAGTTTTCAAATGTACAGTAAATACCATTTTCCAAGACCAACTGCTCCATCCATGCCACCTGCAAAAAGTGCATGGTTTAAGCGTGGATGATGAACCCGCAAGGTTAGAATTTTGTACATGGCTCTTAAGGAAGTTTAATCACGACAATGATTTTACTTCGTTAATATTATTTTCGGGCGAAGCAGGATTTGGAAGGGATGAGCCCATTAACTCGCATAATCTTCACATTTATGCAGACGAAAATCCACCTGCAAACCCGCCACCAAGTACAATTTCAAATTAATTTATGGACAGGAATAATTGGACAATATTTAATAGGACCCGTTGAGTTACCATCTAGACTAAATGGCCAAAGGTATTTACAATTTCTTGAAGAACAATTACCCACTCCGCTGGAAGATCTTTCATTACAAACACGCATGAATATGTGGTTCATGCACGACTGCGCTCCACCTCATTCTAGTATATTAGTTAGAGAGCACCTAAATAGAGTTTATCCAGACCAGTGGATAGGCCGATCAGGACCTGTATCGTGGCCGGCTAGATCACCAGATTTAAATACTATGGATTTCTTCTTCTGGGGTGATTTAAAACGACGCGTTTACAATACGCAAGAGGAAACTGTAGTTGATCCTCGACAAAGAATTTTCCATAACCAGGAAATGCAAAATAACATCCAAATGCTTTGGAGAGTGCAGCAAGGACCTGTATCGTGGCCGGCTAGATCACCAGATTTAAATCCTATGATTTTCTTCTTCTGGGGTGATTTAAAACGACGCGTGTACAATACGCCCGTGGAAACTAGATGATCTTCGACAAAGAATTTTCCATAGCCAGTAAATGAAAAATAACATCCAAATGCTTTGGAGAGTACAGCAAGGATTGATTCGTCGAGCTCGAGAGTGTGTTAGGCAAGGTGGTACTCCTTTGGAACAAATTTTGTAGTTATTATTTCCGTTTTTTAGTTTTGTTGTCATCCTTATTTGTTATTGTTAAAACCCATAGCAACGCTACTCAGATATTATCCAAAGCAATTTGATTATTATGTTATAAATATGTTTTATCATCGTGGTACAAATAATGCATTGGAACTTGGAACTTTTAAAAACAAAAAATATCTCGAAAACTATTAGCCTTAGACACTTCTAACAAGTAAACCTTTTTTGTTGTGGAAATACGAGAAAATAAGGTTTTTTGGTCAGCTGTTGTATACTTACCGAAATAGTGCTGTAAGTGGCGCAATCTTCCTATACCGAGTTCTATGCCAAAATCTGAAATACTTCTCAAGCAATAAGGAAAAATAGAAAATAAAATTGTAACTTTGACACCCTGTATCTCGCAAACTATCAACTTTTGGACTAAAGTACGTTTAGGTCATTTCACATATTTTGATCTGTAGATTTTCCAACCTTTCGCAAAACTCCTGATATATCTTTGGAGCAGAACCTTGTTTTATTTGGTTTGAAATTTCAAATATATCTGACAGACCGACGGACATGAGTAGCATGGTTTTTTGTGTAGGCGTGGGAAGTAAAATCCTAAAAACATTCATTATACTAAAAAATCACCTTACCTGAGTTTATCACAGTCTTTTTAGCACAATGGGTAATGGCAGTCTTACACTGCAGCTCACTTAGTCCGAAAATCAAACCTCTTGAATATGTTAAGGATATTATAACATATTTTTCAAATTATCATCATATCATCATTCCTGAAGATTAGATTGTCAGGCTCAGGACTCAAACATTTTTGAATGTCAATAAACGCAAATACTACACTTGAAGGTTATATGGAATCGTTAAAATATTGATAGATATGAAAGAGAATTGCTATTATATTACAGATAATGTATTGTGCCTCAATAATGCACAAATAGTTTAAGAATGTCAAGATTCCTTATCATCGTTAGACTTAGGTTAAACGTTGAACGACTTGAAAGTTATATGTAATCGTTTTAATATTCCGGAATTCATGGTAATTAAAAACGAAAACGGTGCACCGATTATGAATGCAATTCTCAGCAATAAAGGTGACGTAAAAAAGTCAATAATAAGATTTTCAGTAATAAGTGATGTTATTGAAATTGCCGACTCCGACACTAGACATCTTATTTTGATATATTACCGACAGGAGGTCATACCCCACAGGTATTCAAATGTTTCCGTAAAAAGCACCCTGTATCTTCGAAATGGCTGAGCTGATTTTAACAAACTTGGGCTAATTGAAAAGATCTATTCTTGGGCTACAAATGTTATAATATTTGAAATTTTGTTACTTTCACATGTTGCCGCTAAGGGGATTTTTTCGAAACTCCGACAGAAATCGTTAAATTTTCACAAAAAAAAAAAATTAAATGCATTGGTATGATTTTTTTATTAAAAAGTAGCTAAATGATGAGTAAATAATCTCGCGCAAACCGCATCTCGATATCTTGTTCGTAACCTAGGATTTAGGTCAAAGAAAATTTTATACAATAATCCCTTCAATTTTCCGGGAACTTCTTTTTATTATCAAGTTGTGGCCCTAAAACGGACCGATTTATAAAAGAAAGGTTTTTAATGTCCCTGTGAATGCTCGAAATACTGACCATCATGCTCTATGCATTCCTGAAACCTCTCATGGGTATACAAAACTTAATTTTCAATTTCGGCACTCGGTATGTTACGTATTGCATTACGGATCCGGTTTTTCATATCTTCTCTGGTTGAAGGTTGAGTCTGCAACACGATGTCCTTTAACCGACCCCATAAATAAAAATCAAGACAAGACATGGAAATAATCCACCGCTGTTAAAATACTGCATTAATATGCTCTCCCACAGTAATAGCAAAGTATGCTGGTCAACCATCCAACTGCAAAAATTAAATTTGCCGTGTTTCCAGAGGCTTGCTGAACTTCACGCATCCAATGCGGATTTTCTGCAGACTAATAATGCATATTGTGCAGATTGATTCTCCCGTCACTATTAACGGTGGCTTCATCGGTCCAAAGAATTTGAAAAAAAATGCATGCCCAACATCCATGCGGTTAATATTTTCTTGTGTTCTTCCAATTCTTTGCCGTTGAAACGTAGGCCGAAAACTACCATTGGCTTGTAAGCTCGGCACTAATCAGGGAAAACTCTCACATCGCAAAAACACCGATTTGGATATCTAGTTGCGTAAGCTCTTTTTGCTACTGCAGCATTCTGAAGACATTCAAAATAAACTGAAAGCATATCAACAGTTTCATCGTTCGTAAAACGCATTTGATAAGCACAAAAATTGCTCAAAGTAACGCGAAACTATTGACAATTACTGACAATTTGAGGATTACTTATGTTTTGATTAGGTATTTGTCCTGTTATATGCCATTTTGTATCAATTGTCTTTTTCGTATATACTCATAGTGAATATACGTATACATGGATTTAAACAAAAATATGCCTTTTGTTATTAGCATTACTTATTTACATTTTAGCGATATTTTCAGAAAGGGTGATTTTATTCTGATGAATAAAAAATAATTCCAGAAAAATTAGTTTGAAAAAATAAAAATTTAAGGGATTTTCGTATAAAATTTTCTTTGGCCTTAATTTTAGGTTAGGAATAAGATATCGAGATGCGGTTTTCACGAGCTTGTTTAGACACCATTTAGCTACTTTTTCATGAAAAAAAGCATACCAATGCATTTAACTTTTTTGAGAAAAAAACATTTCTGTTGGGATGTCGAAAAAAGACTGGCGGTCACATATGAAACTAACTAAACTTCAAATGCTAAATTTGTAGCCCAATAATAGCTATTTTCAACTAGCCCAAGTCCGTTAAAATATATTCTTCTATTTAAGTTTACCCATGTCTAGGGTGCCATTTAAAATAAGCGATCTATACTAACTGTATTAAAAATTCATTGTTGTATCACTGTTTGCAGTGGAAAGATCATCACTGTTAATTATAGAGTGTAGAAATATGAGAAGAAAATACCAGGACAACTTTGTTTTCAAAAATATAAATGGTATGATTTTGTAGCTGTTTAGTATGTTCAAATGTGGTGGTATTTCGTGCACGAAAGAATTGTGTGCAACAAGAGAGATTATAGTTTCTTAAAACTAAGGCATATTTTGATTGTGTAGCTGTGACGATAGGATATCAAGAGTGGTCAATAGCTGATTTAATTTCAGAAGATGTAGAAGGGGTCACAAAGGGGCCGTCACGAGCGCCTGGGCTTGGTAGCAATAGTGATAACGTCTAATACTGGAAGAGAGTATCGGATGTCCAGGATTCAAGTACCAATGTTTCGATGATAATGCTGAAGAATTATAAATGCAAGAACTTCGACTTCGAAATCGATTGCAAATGTATTTAGTTCGGTATGAACGAATTAAACATATCGATACATGCATCTAAGAACATTGTAACTGACATTTGGTCGATTTTTAGTTTTTAGTTGTTTCAGATAGAACTTACTTAATATTTTCAGCTAGTATAAGAATTTAAACATTTTTTTGTATCAAAGATGAGAAAAATTATTTTAAATATCATTGTACCTGTATAGTGCCACGGTACAGCAGTAATATCATGGTACGTTCGATACAATTCCATTACAGCTTACGCAGGATATTGTAAAGTACGTTACGTATCTACCACAACCCAGATGATATTATTAAAATATTGTATTTGCCTTTACTGTGTTTATCAATGCGCGCAAACGTATTACGGCATATTGTAAGTGACTTTACAATGATGTTTCACGGAAAATATCAATCAAATACACATTTCCTATAGCGTCCAGCGTAACATACGTTACAATGGTTATACCGCTAAGTGCACGTTTTCGTCAGATTGTAATTACCAGTTTTTTTGCTTTTTCCATAAATTTTTCCAAAAACTTGACTTTTGTCAGTTACAATGTTCTTCGATGCATGTATCGATTTAAAACAACAACGATAGAAAACTAGAATTTCTATGTTATCCTAATAACTGTATTTTTCAATTTTGAAAAAAGTTCGTGGCTGCTTTTCAGAATCTCAAAATCAAGGGCCAATAAAAAATGTCCATTCGGCCAGAGTAAGTCGTTCTAGCAGTGCAGCGCTTTTATGCTGAATAGCAGTAGCCGTAGAATAGCCTTGACTGTTCGCAAAATATCAACATACTATCAAGTCTGGCAACCAAGTCAAAACTGCTGACGGTTCAGCATAAAAGCGTTGGATCGCTTTACCTTGGCTGAACGGTCCCATTGTCTCAGATATTTTTGTCTAACGATCAAGTAATGTAAAAAGGTACATCGAACTGATAATAAAGGGCGTGAATTTGGTTGGATAGTTTTGTTTCCTGAAAAGAAATTATCGCTTATGGTGGCTTAGATATGATTGTTTTCCTCAGACGGCGCTGCCCCAGACGGTTCTAAAGAGTATTCAAGATAGTATCTGTAGTCTAATAATAATAATTATGTGAGTAGCGCTACTGATCTGAAGAACGAGACTAATTTTTAACATTACAAGTGGTGCCTCTTTAACGTATTACGCAGATGACAATCCGTGTAGTAAGCGCACGTGTGAATATAGGTTGAATTAATAGAAATAAATTGAGTTTGATGAATTTCAAAACCAACCAGCCTTCGTTTCCCCAACAGAACATCGAAGAGATTTCGAATGTATCCCTTGCCTGATAAAACCACATTTAAAAGTTTGACCAATATCAGCAAAAGGAAACATTATAAAGACATAAGGGAAACGTAAAAATACTGTCGAATACTTGGGCTTAACACATGGAAAAAGGATACAAATTAATGATGTCATAAGGTCCTCTAAGGTAGTTCACATTGTCTGCACCACTAGAAATTATAATATTTTTACTTTTTCCAAACAAATGAAATAAGTTTGCTGCGTGAATTAAATTTTTTCTTTTTGTCGAGTCCAGAATAGCAGGTGCATACTGGAGTTCAAAGTGGTATCCCCTATCAATCAGCTGATTATACAGTTTACGGTTCAACCTTAAGTTGAATTTGTTTTCAGGATTAAATGTAAATATATCAGCTTCAAACGTAGAACATGTATGCTGGAATAAAAAAAAATCAGAATCTAAAAATACCTAACCATGATACAGGGTTTGTCCGGAACGTAATAGGTCTGAGTCGATTTGAAAAAAATTATTGAGCCAATCGTTACAATTCTTTAAAAATTTTCAAAATAGGCTTCTTCTGCGTCGATGCAGCGCTGCCAGTGCGATTTCCAAGCATTGAAGGCGTCACGGAAGGCATTCTCCGGGATAGCCTTGAGAGCCGCGGTGCATGCTGCTTGGATCCCCTCTGTCGGCCTTTTCAGGCGAGGAAACAAAAAAAGTCCGGGGGGCACATCTGGGCTGTAGGGCGGCTGCGGAAGCGTTGGGATGCCGGCCTTGGTCAGGTAGCTGTTCACAAGAAAGGCGGTGTGAGCCGGCGTGGGGCGTTGTCGTGGTGCAACTTCCAGTCGGCTGCGATGTCTTGTCGGACCCGACTGACCCTTCGTTTGAGTCTCCTGAGCACTTCCACGTAAAACTTGGCATTGACGGTTTGTCCAGGAGGAACAAATTCATGGTGGACGATGCCTTTGATGTCAAGAAAGACAATGAGCATCGTTTTCACTTTGGATTTGCTCATTCTTCCCTTTTTTGGGCGAGGAGACGCCGTCGTGTGCCACTCGGAAGATTGCCTCTTTGTCTCGGGATCATACTCAAAGATCCACGACTCGTCACCTGTGATTACGTTATTCAAAAATTGGGGGTCACTTTCACACATGTTAAAATTTTCTTGGCACACTTCCACTCGCCGCAATTTCTGGTCGTCAGTGAGCACTTTTGGGACCATCTTCGCGCACACCTTGCGCATGTTCAAATGCTGTGTCACAATGTCATGAACCACAGATTTTGGTAAATTTAACATCTGGGCAATTAAACGAATACTTAGTCGACGGTCTGAGTTCAAAACTTTGCGCACACGAGTCACATTATCGGTGTTTGTCGAAGTCGAAGCACGGTCTTCATCAGCGACCTCTTCCCGGCCCTCCAAAAAGGCCTGGTGCCACCGAAACACACCACTTCTTGCTAAAGCAACACCTGGGTAAGCCTGCTTGATCATATCAAACGTCTCTGTCGCAGATTTACCGAGTTTCACACAGAATTTAATCGCGTACCTCTGCTCTAACGAACGCTGCATTTTCGGCTTGCACCACTCACAGAAACACGTCGCGCGAAAATGTCTGTCCTGACGCCCTCTACCGAATCCAGTCGGTGCGCGCACGCTCCGAAGTACAGTCATGGTGGAAGAAAATGAGCCTATTACTTTCCGGACAATCCCTGTATAAATGTCGCAGCTAATTAGCATAATTAGCCGTTCAATTAACAGTTTAGCCCAGGGGTCGGCAATCTGCGGCTCGCGAGCTGCATGCGGCTCGTTTGATGTCAAGTTGCGGCTCTCCAGTTCATAGTAAGTCCTCTCAACACAAATATAAATGAGATCAACATTGAGCCATTTGGAATTAATGCTGATTCATTTAAAATGCAACTGCTGGTTTTTGTAAATTGTATCTTTTGGCTATTCCGTCTCAAAAGGTTGCCGACCCCTGGTCTAGCCAGTCATCTACCGTCCTGAATGAGATTCGGCCATTCAATGAAACAACTAGGCAGATTACTTGGATCGATAACGTTCAACTATTTGCATTGCCTAGTAATTTGAATTTAGTTGCACTACCTGCTACCTGGCGCTGAATCCCACAGGCCAATCAATTTGTTTGATAGAGGCTGCGACAAGTCACTCACCTTTCAGTGGCTAAGGATTCACAAAATGTAGTTCACTGTTGGCGAATTATGGCTAAAAAGGTCCGTAGGTAGATATATTCTAATAATTAAAAAATTGATATTTCTGGTAAATTTGTCTCACGTTGTATCTTAAACAGTTCTGATTTCAGAGTGAACGTACTTTTTTGATCTTCTAAGTAGACACAAACCAGTGATAGTTTTATATGAAAAAAAAAGACGGCTGGAAAATTAAGCAAAAGTTTGAAAATCTTTTCCTGGCACTCGTAATAATTGGGTGGCTAAGGCTCGAAAATCCAACCGAAACCTGCAATATGTTACCGGACAAAGTATATACCCATATCTTAAACAAGGTGTCCAGGAATAAATTTCCCTTTTTAAACTCGAATAACTTGGCAACAGTGTAACTTAGAGCAGTCGGCGTAGCGTCCTTTAATAGTGGATCGATGCGGATTATTTAGTAACAATGGAGCGTAGGTCTGCTGCGCATCGTGCGTTTATTATTGAGGCATTATTCAAGAACAATGACTCGTACACAATTGCAAGATGAAGGTTTTGTGCTCAGTTCAATATTAGGCGTGTCGAGGACGCACCAAGTAAAAATTTAGTGAAACCGTGGGTGAAGAGGTTTAGAAAAACATCGTCAGCTCTAAATGTGAAACGCCCTGGTCATCCGTCCTGAGAATGTTCGCGCCGCTATAATTCAAAATGCAAGTGGATCTGTTCGTAAAACATCACAGGTGGTTGGATTGTGTAAATCATCTTTTCATGCAGTTTTAAGGAGGGATTTAAAGCTTCACCCCTACAAGATCCAAATAGTGCAAAAATTAAACCCAAATGACTTTATAAACCGTCGTTCCTTCGCCGAAACAATGGTAAACTGTTTTTTGCAAACAACCGAATTAACAACGTTCTGTTCAGTGAGGAGGGGTATTTTCACGTTTCAGGCGCAGTTAATAAGCAAAATTGTCGCTTTTGGGCACCAGAAAATCCAAGGCAAAAACAGGAAAGGCCCCTACACAGCCAAAAAGTAACTGTGTGGTGTGCAATGTCGCCTTCAGGAATCATCGGTCCCTTCTTTTTGAGAACCAACGTGGCATAGCCCAGACTATAACTAGTGATCGTTATTGTGCAGTACTTGGACAGTTCTTGGTACCTCAGCCACAAGAAATTGATGGCTTTGATCTACCACACATACAGGCCGAGCACCTATGGAAGTCGTTCGAGAATTATTCCCGGAAAAGGTCATCTCTCGCGTTGGAGACCTAAACTGGCCAGCTAGGTCTCCGGGTCTCACCCATTGAACTTTTGGGGATACCTCAAAAATAAAGTTAATGTTAATCGGCCTAGGACTTTGCATGAATTGAAACAAAAAATACGGGAAGAAATTAGAGCAATTGCACCTGAATTATGTTCAGCAGTTTTTAACCACATGAAGACGATATTGCAGGAGGTTTTTCGACCGAAATGGAAGGCACCTCGACAATATAATTTTGAAAACATGAAATCCGCCTATATTGTCTGTAATTTTGCTTCAATAAATTAATTTTAAAACTTCAAGACAATTTTTTATTAGCCTTTAAAAAGAGAAATTTATTCCTGGACACCCAGTATTTAAGGAGTGGTGCCTAAGTGGCACCGGAGCACAGTGACCGTTTTAGGAGAGCAAAATTCCGATCACTCATGGCCATCTCAGTAATCAAATGGAAATTGTACTTATTCACAAAAAACGACACATGCAGTGAACATTTGGAGATATTGAAGATACAATTTGGATGAGGAAAGGGGTGTGACTTGGGATCGAACCGTAACATAATTTTAAATATAATACATTACATGAAAACATATATAATAAAATGATTATATACATTAGGGTGTCCCAAAAAAATGAAAGTTCTATTTTTCAAACGCGTACCTTCTGATTTTGCTTAAGCAATGTCAAAACAATGGTAAATAAAGCTTTATATACCTAGAAGCAGGGCAACCAGCTTATTGCAGTGCTCGTTTGTTCTGTTAGTAAACGCACTGTTTTCGTTCAGCCAACATGTCGAAGGAATTACGCAGTTCCAAAAGGGGAATATTTTTAATGAAACATCAAATTACCGGTTCAAAACTTCTCTTTAATGGACAAGTACTAGCAGTTTTGATCTATACTATCCGGGACGAGAAATTAAGTATCAATGAGAGCGCCAACCTTACTATTCGTGAGCGCATTATTTACTAAGACAATGCACGTATGCCGACTAAATCTTTACCTAACTGAGTTAAGAAATTAGTTAACTTACACCAAGTTTGGAGAGATTTGCAAACAATGCAAGCAAAAAATAATAAGTGTTTGAACAACGTTGACAAGAATTTGTTACGAACTTGGGCAATTTGTTTCATATTCCGCATGTCGATGCTCTTCAATTGATGAAAATAAATGAATATAATTATGATCCTCTTGCAACGGCAGCGAGAGCCAGGTCGACCTGGTCATTTAGCTGGAGTGGACAAGAAATTAGCCATGAAAGAAAAAAAGGCGCGTTTTAGGAATACCGAAGAACACAAATATGTTGCTTCCTTAACTCCCTCGACATCGGCTTACGAACCAGTGCAAAAAAAATCATCTTCAAATTCCGAGAAAGATTTACTTTGTCCATCCCAACTGAGAGCACACAACCGGACACTAATCAAACTCAAATGAGAAAAAGTTTCATAACTCCAAAATTAGTGGAAGCATGTAGTTTGAGAAATGCTGTTTTTATTATTAAACTGTAACTGTCCACCGGGATGGCAAATTGTTGCCACCTTTAAATGCACTCAAGTCTAAAGAAGAACGTCTACCGATTGTTATAACGTATAAAAATAAAGAGCAACTTATCGCTGTGCCCAAATTGGATAACTCTCTAGGCAGCGCGCAGGCTCTGGCAATTTGGGATGCTATTATTGACTGAAATCTTGAAAACAAAGTTCAGTTTCTCTGTTGTGATATTTCTTCAAATGCGGGTCGCATTAACGGTACCTGCGTGCTCCTCTAACAGAAACTTAATAAAGGAATGCTTATTTGTGCTTGCCGTCATCACGTCTACGTATTGATGCTAAAAGGCATGTTTGAATCAAAGATTGACCAAGTGATTACAAGCCATGGCATTCCAATGTCAAAATATGTACTTTCGCGAGAGCTGAAAAATAGTCGATCCCGAGAAAATATAGATTTATACTGAAAAGCTATCATATCTGAATATTTCAGAGGGTGGCAAGCTGCTGGAGTTTTATCGAAATGAATTGACCAAAAAAGTTGCTAGATGCGACTATCGAGAATTAAAAGAACTTTCAATAATATTCCTTTTCGGAGATACAGAGAAAACATTTTTGATGGATGGCCAGAGCAATCTATTAATTAAACTAAGTTCCCAGCTCAAACTTTCGAACAAGGATAAGGCAGTACACATGAAGCCTTGGTTTCAATGCACTTTAGCAATAAAACCACCTAACCAGGATTTATGCTTTTTAAAGGCAATGCAGGCTTACGAAAGAATTGACAAAACCATTTCAAAAGCAGCTTTACAAAAATTCTGTCAACATTCATGGTATTTTACAGATGAGGGCTCTGTCTTATCTCTGTTTAACGACGACGTAGATGAGGAAACCAAAGTAAAAATTGTGGATAATTTAGCCAAAGAAAATCCATCAGCTCACGGTAATCGCTACATCCCATTGAAAAAATAACTTTCTGATCTACTTTATGGTAAGTCTGACGAATAAATTTTCATTTGCCTTCTTTTACAGCTTCGATATAACATGCTGTTAAAATAAGCCAACATACATAAACTGTGATCCAGGCAATAGATGGCACCTTATACTGTCTTGTTTTGATAGACCTTATACCTCAGATAGACGTTAGTAGCCTAGACTATGCTGATGAGTTGCCAAAAAGGACAAAACACCTGTCCATGGTTGACTGTGGTCAGACGGACAAAACCAGTATGTTTAGATGGTAGCTATTCTTCGTTTTTTTCATTTCTGAAAAATATCGATGACTTTGTTTCAATCAAAAGCAAGTCCTTGTTCAGTCGACTCAAAATTGATGAGTTTTCTCGACGAGTGTCCAACTTCATGGTCACATAATGATTCTTGTCAACACGCTAAGAATAAGGTGCAAACACTGAGAGCAGTTAACGATACGGCAGAAAGAGCAGTCAAGTTAACGCAAGACTTCCATGGCTTAATCACTACAGATGACGAACAAAAACAATTTTTATTACGTTGCGTACAAGAACACACAGGTTTATCCCGACTCTAAAAAGAAAATTTAGTAAATAAATGTTCTTCTAATGATAAATATCTAAGAAATATACGATACAAATAAAGCCGGCACGAGTTATCGTTCCCCGATCGTAATAATATTTATTTTTTGAGTTATTAAAGTTAAGTGAAAAAAAATTAGGAGATATGCGTATCTCAATTCGAACAAAAATTTGTTTGCCCTCATAGGCTGGGACATCCTAATGTACATCATGCTCTAAATATCTCCGAGTTTCAATAACACAATACAAACCATGAAGAATATGAACGGATCTTTGAATAAACAAATTAATAGGAAACGGTGACTAAAACTACTCACTGTCAATGCCTGAGGAGTTGTAGGGGCGGCAGCTACAATATGATACTTCTTGAAATTTGGAGATTTTGTCTGAAACAAAATGAATCTTCGTGAATGAAGTATACTTTAAAAAATGATAGAGAAGTTTGACATACCTATGAAAAATGTTGACCAGAATTAATTTGTCATACACTCATTCCAGTTTGAAATTAAGGGACCATCACTCTGAGAATATTGAGTATGTTATAAAACTGAAATTTTATTTTAGGAATATCAACTATATACGTAAATACCAGTAGGTTTACTTTATAGAACTTCAATAAAAATATGTATTATTTGATCGATACTGATACATTTCAACACATTTTGGATGTATAACTCCAAAACTAGTATATTTTATTTAGTTGACTCTAAAATAACATTAAGTTAAGTAAATACCTTTAAATATCGGCAATACTAGCATTTAATCACAATAAATAGTGAAAAAAAAATAGAAAAAAGTGTTGTGCTGTGGGGATCGAACCCAGTACGTACATGTTGCTGAGCTTATGCTTCCCACTGTGCCATTCTAGGAAGAGTTAATGCTTATTAAAAAGGGTAATTATGATTCGGGATGCATTATCGAGGGCATCGTGTTTAAACCGCATGTTTTACCACACAAATAATCTGAGACGGCGCAAGCTCTTAAGGGACGATCATTAAGTATATTCTCAAATTATCATTCGAAACAGCTCACAATGAAAAAAAAATTACTGTATTTACAAAATCATTGTCAATGTTTGTACTTGTCTATAAAATATAAATGTTAAATAAAAATACATGTTCAGAAATGCTGTTTAGAGCCGTCAAGGAAGTATATTTGATGTTATTATTGATATTTTATATTAACTTTCCTTCAAGATATTGTAAACTGTTGAACAGAAAACGTGCTTGAAAATAATGACTAAACGGGTGCTGTATTTTCTTTTCTAGAAACTAGATATTTGTACAGCTTATATATCAAGTTACATAATTTTCTCAACTTTTTTCTAATATATGAAGTGCTAAAAAAAAAATCAAATTTTTTTTCAAAAACTTCTAAGTTTCTGATATTTTTACGATTACGAGTACTAGAGACAGAATATTAAACTTTCTCAGCCATCTTAGTTTTTTTCACAGTGAATTAAATGTCTGAGTTTCATACAAAACTATAGACCACTGCATTGAATGTTTGGCATCACGGCGAAGAGATACGCGTGAAAATTTTGCCAGAGTTTATGTGAATTTTCGGGGAAAAAGTGTTTCGAAAAATCGGAAACTTCCACGTATGGCTATTTAAGGGCTTCTCAATCCCACTATGTAAAAATCCGGACTTTTCACCGATTCTTTGAACAAAAACAAGCAGTTTGATCCAGTTTTATTACTCTTGAAATTTGGCAAGAATCCGGTGCTCTGTTGTCACGTTGTGCCTATCATCATGAGTAATACGGGAGAGACGAAAAGGACTACATCGTGCTCTGTGAATTCGGTGTGTTATTGTGCCAGTTTTAAACATATCCTTACGGATGTGAAGAAAAAAATGGATACCTGTCATAAGATAATTGTTGCTCAGAATGCCAAGATAGAGGAGTTGAACTCAGCTGTTGCAGTGCTGACAGCTAAGTTGGAAGAAAGAAATGTTGCGGCCAAGGAGGCTCCTGCAGTTCAAAATATCAGTTACAGAGATGCAGTTAAGCGCACTATGCCAGAGGAACACTTACTACTGGTGAAGCCAGCAAATGATGAGCAATGCGACTCCCTTAAGCAGAAACTGGTTAGCAAAATAAATCCAGAGGATCTACAGGTTGGTGTGCAGATAAATAAGGTAAATACCAACGGCGACACTATATTAAAATGTGATAATCGGCGATCGCTGGAAAAAGTTAAGGCATCCATAGAGGGGCAATTGTCGAATAGTTGCTCTGTCTCTTTACCAAGAAAACGGAATCCCCGCATTCGTGTCTTGGGAGTAGATAAAGACTATTACAAGGAAGATGCAGTGGTGTTCAGAGACAAAGCGTTTAACCAAAATAGCGTTCTATCTAATATACATGACCCATTATTCAGAATTGTATATACGTAAATATCCAGTTAAAAATGACAAGTTTGATCTTGTTGCTGAGCTAGATCCTAAGTCTTTCCATTCGATAATGGGTGAAGGAAAGCTAAACATAGGATGGAATCGTTGTCCTGTTTACGAGCATTTTTCTGTAGTTCGTTGTTTCAAGTGTTGCGAAAAGTCAATGTAGGAATGATGACTCCATGTGTTGTATAAATTGCATAAATGCCAATAATAAACTTGGTAAAAACTATGATACCTGTCACTCTGTATGGCATAACAAGTGTGCGTGTCTACAAAAAATTGAAAAGTTTATCAGGAGTAAAACAAACTACTCCTAGTACATTCTTTGGCTTATTTTATTAACGTATATTATTTATTTCTATTTTATTCCATACAACACATTTTTTATCCATCTTTTTTAATCTTTTTATCTCATACTCTTTTTTATTTCTTGTTGTTTGTTTTTATATCCTTATAATTTGTTTCTTTATGTCTCTGTTATGTGAATTTGATGTCATTCGTAATGAGGAGCACAATATAATGATAGGGTGCCTCAATGTTAGGTCGCTAATTTGCTCTTTTCATGATGTGAGGGACTATGTTCTCACTCAAAACTTTGACATATTTGGTTTCACAGAAACTTGGCTCAAACCAGACGTTTTTGAAAGTAATGTACAAATTGCGGGATACCAGGTTTTTAGGTATGACAGGGTTGATAGGCGAGGCGGGGGTATTGCCTTATATGTCAGAGTTGGCTTACGATGCTCAATGCTGGAGAACTTGCATGCAGAGGTGAACAGTGGTTTTGAACAGCTTTGGGTAAATATATCTGTCAACAAAAAAAAGTACACGGTTGGAGTAGTTTATAAACCCCCCAGTGTCAGCTATAGAACTCTGTCGGAGCTGGAGGAAATGTTGACATCTATATTTCCAACATCAGAGGGTTTAGTATGCATGGGCGACTTGAATATTAACTTCTTTGATTGTAGTAGTCCTGAATGTGTCTTTGCCTCTAATATTTTTGAAGATTTGAATCTGCATCAAATAGTTGACCATGAAACCAGGGTCACGAATAACAGTAGTACCTTAATAGATGTCGTTTTCGTTAATGATGAAGTTAAGATTGCTAATAAAGGAGTTGTGAATCTTCCTGCGGTGTCCGATCACTATCTAGTTTATTTTTGTGTGGAATGTGAACTAGCCGTTAGAGATACAAAATATGTACAGACCCGTGATTTAAGGAATATTGATGAGTCTCTTTTGAATGAGGTAGCGTCTAATATGCACTGGCTAGGTGTTATCGACTATGATGACATTGAATCAAAACTGCAACATTTTTACAGCCTTATTGATGATCTGCTAAATATATGCGCACCAATCAAAACCAGGAAGATATCAAAAGCACGTTGTCCCTGGATTACACACAATATTAAATTCATGATGCGGTTACGCAATAATGCCTATTCTAAGTATAAGAAAACTGTTAAGAACAATTTTTCTGACGAGATAAATGCTGCCAAATGGAACTACTATAAACAATTAAGGAATCTAGTCACAGCATCTATTAGGCGCGAAAAAAAAAGCATATATTGAATACCAGCTAAGAAAAAGCAACAGTTCTCGGAGCTGGTGGAAAGCTATAAAGGAGCTAGGGATTCATGGTCATAAGGGTAAAAATAATCAGTGTACTTTGGAACCCAACATATTAAATAACTGTTTTGTGGATTCAGTTCCCGATAACTCAATAAATGAAACACTCTTAGAGTACTACAACACCAACATGCTACCAAATATCAATGACCTATTTCAGTTTAAGTTTGTTACCGAGGAAAAAGTCTTGAAGACCTTTCAAAAAATAAACTCGCGTGCTACCGGACTAGATGGATTAAATATAGATACATTTTCCTATATTCTTCCTTTTTGCCTCAAGGCTCTTACTCATATTATAAACTTTTCTTTGGAACATGGTATCGTACCACTCATATGGAAAGCCGCAACTGTTATTCCCGTTGGTAAAATCGATAATCCCCAATTGCCTTGCGATTTCAGGCCTATAAGCATACTTTCACTCTTGTCAAAAATTCTAGAACAGATCGTTTACGAGCAAATGCTAACACACATCAATAAATACAGCTTAATTCCAAATACACAGTCGGGATTTAGAAAAAATCATAGTACTGTGACTGCATTAGTTGACATTTGAGATGACTACTTGAGAGCTATAGATAATTCCTGCGTAACTACAACTGTTCAGCTGGATTTAAGAAAGGCATTTGACTGTTTAAACCACAAAATGTTATTGGCTAAGCTGCACTTTCTTGGTTTTTCTGAGAATTCGATTACATGGTTTGACAATTACCTATCAGATCGACTTCAACAAGTTAAAATAGGCAGTGACTATTCTGACAATCGGCTCATTGTAAAGGGGGTGCCGCAAGGTTCCATTTTAGGACCAATGTTATTTACTTTATACGTGTCGGACTTGGATCGGTCGGTCAAACATTGCGCCTTACATTCTTATGCTGATGATACCCAGCTTTATCTATCCTATGATCCCTCCTCATGTGTTGATGCTAATGAAAAACTAGCAGTAGATTTAAGCAGCGTTTGTGATTGGTTTAGATACCACGGGTTACACATAAACTGTAGCAAATCGGCCATAATTACCTTCCTAAGAAGAACGAGTTCAGTGGAGATGCTATAAAGCTATGCCTCAATAGTGAAGAGCTCACACACAAAATATCGGTATTAAACTTAGGAATAATCTTTGATGAGCACTTAACTTTTCATGATCATATTTCTAAGGTTGTACAGAGCTCTTTTGCTAAACTAAAAAGCATCTACAGCTTTAAGCACGTGTTGGCTCAAGATACTAAAATTAAGCTTTGCGATTCAGTCATTTTAAGTAAGTTAGAATATGGAAGTTCCGTGTTTGGTCCTTGTTTGACTGAAGCCGAAGCTTACAGACTTCAGAAAGTGCAGAACAGCTGTATTAGATATTCTGTTGGAA